GGGCAAGAGCAGGCTGATGGGGGGGCAGAGGGGGGCAAGCAGGCCAGTAGGGGCGCAGGCAGTTGGGGGTGATAAGGCCAGCAGATGTGGGGCAGTTAGCAGTGATCAAGCCAGAAGGGGGGCAGTTGGGGGTGATGAGGCTGGCAGGCAGAGTGGTTAGGGGCAGTCAGGCAGGCAGGCAGATGAGTGGTTAGGAGCCAGCAGTTCCGGATTTCAAGAGGGATGTCTGACTGCCAGTTTAAGCCCGATCCCCACAGGCAGTCAGACATCCCCCAAGGAGTCCCAGATTGAAGAGGGTGCAGGCCGGGTTGAAGGACACCTTCCTCATGCATGGATTTAGTGTACTGGGCCACTAGTCTATAATAATAAAAGGGTAATATGCTAATTAGACCCAACATCTTCCGGATGTCATTCTGGGCATTCTTCCTGATGAAGTTGGGGTCTGAGGGAAGCCAGTCTGGGTCCTGGGTGTCTGTGGGCATCCTGAGGGAAGCTAGCCCGGGTCCCAGGTGCTGGAGGGAATCCGGTGCCAACAGCAGGGGGAAGGAAGGGCTTCTCTTGCACGAATTTTCATGCATGAGGCTTCTAGTTTGCTTCATAATGTGAAATATAACTATGCATAAAAAATTTAAATGAAGAATTTAAGGATACTCCTGATGGAAAATTTGTTGTTCTTTTTTCCTCTCCTTTTTAAGGATGATAGTAAAGGGACTATGAAGTTCATAACAAAAATAATTTTCTAATAATTCAATATGCTATGCTTTTATTTTATACATGTTTTCCCATTTACTTCATGGAATACTTCGTAGGAAAAAACAATATATGGGATGAAAATAAGTTTTTTGGTCTTGTTTTCATATGCATATGAGGATGATGGAATTGTTTGAGATCTTTTTTTGTGTGTTCCATATTCTGACTCCACAGCTCCTGCCTTGTACGGAAAATACAGCTGCAACCCAGCCCCCATTGGACAAAGGGGGGAACAGATGGCTTGTGATCTTGTACTGCCTACACATTAAGGCAGCGCCATGGCTTGGATTAAGTACTTTTTTTTTTTTGGTACTGACAATGCTAAAGTGAAAATAAATAGTCAAGCAGGGAGATGGAGCCTGCAGTCATGGAGATTCAACCGCTGTACTTGCTGTTTTTCTCATAGGTACAGAACTAACCTAAGTGGGGCTGCTTCCTAGATCGATGAGTAATTCATCAGAAGACCTCTGCACTTCCCACTCAATTGTTCTCCCTAGAGCCTGGATGACACATGCTTAAACTGTCCCATTTACTGAGCACACAATTTCCTATAGGGTTTGGTGAGCCATTAAGCTGTTTTGTCTGGTGGGAGAGAAAGGAAAGTTGGCCTGAATTTACTGATCATCTTATCAACTTCATTTAACCAAACCTGTTCATTTAGTGTATATTTAATTTATTTAAAATATATCAAAAATTTTATGGAATATAATTTGGGGGATTAGAAAAAACTCCATGTGCTTATAAAGGCTGACAATTTCAAATACAATCTCTGTAATAGAACTATATTTATTAATATAGTGATGATATAGCATCTTCTTTTTAGCCTCATTAGTGTATGCAATAAATTTTAAAAATGCAAATATTAATGTACTGATAAATGACATTGTAAATATACCTGCATAGTAATAAAGATACAATTAGTTAATTGTGCATTCAATTAAGTGTTTTCATTTTATATATGAGAACAGAAACAGTAAAATGTTGGTAAAGAACATTCAGTCTAGAATGCATGGACCAATGTTTAGAGAGATGTGACTTGATTGGTAAAGTTCATTTTTTGCAATCTTTATTTTAAACTGTTTAGTTTAACTTGCAGCATTCTTTTTCATGATTCACTTACTACTCCATATCTCTTCAAATCCAATTCCCATTTAACCCTAATAACACCTCAAAATTTCCCCAAGGAGGAAAAACCGACCAAACATCAAAACCTTACCTTTCCAACATATTGTGGATCGGGTCCCATATGTTCTTCTAAAACAAAGAACTGATTCCAAACCCATCCCCTTTTGGGACGATGGTGGACTTCGGTCTCTCCTTCGATGTGCTTGGTTTGATTTCTGGTCACCTTGATGGAGCTGTGGTGAGCAGTTCCATAACACCTCTGCACAAAACAGAGACACACGAGGACTGGACAGATGCAAGATGTGCTCGTAATTTTCATTGTAAGATAACTTTCCAGTTCACAGTTTTCTTTCTTTTCCTTGTTGGCTACAAATGCTTAATGAGCATTCAAGAGAGAAGCCAAAGCATCCTTTGGAAGGACAGTCCAAAGTAAAGTGTTTAGCGTGTCCATGATTTAACCGTCCACCAGGGAAAGGTCAGATTGCATTTACATCCTGAAACACTTCAGAGATTCAAAACTGCAGTGGTCTGATTCTTAGTCTTCACAGTAGGTGAACACAGGCAACCATTTTCCACCTAATGGAAAGAGAAAAAATTATAAACAGAACAAAACCTGGTAGGTTTAAGTATTTGCTCTGAATGCAAAATATACTATTATGCAGAGATGCCGATAGGAAAGAACATGTGCAGATTATTATATAGACATCCATAAGCCTGTACACTGCACATGTTTTTCATGGACCTTCCTCCCTTTACTACTAATCTTCATATACATTTAGACTAAACGTATATTTAGGATATTTATATGTTTCTTGAAACAACAGAAATGTAGCCCTCGGGAGTGTTTAAATGTTCAAAAACTGATGATGAGTGTGTGCACATGCCTGAGTGTAGTATGACTGCTTACAATACATGATCTATTAGGGACTCCATGCTAAGTGCAAATGTTTTGTTTGTTTATTTTTATTCAGTTTTGTTGGATGTGATAAAACTGTACTGGACATTAATTGTCTACTACATGTGACTCACTGAACTTCAACAAAATATACCATAGAGTTGACAAATTGTCACAGACCATCACAACAATCCAGCAGTCACTTAAGCTGCTTAGTAAGTAAAATAAAACAAAAAAAGGACAATGGCTGAAAAAATGAAACTGAAAGTTACTCCATTCTCAGAGAGCAGATTGGCACAATTGATCATAAGTAAGAATATCAACTGGCTCGGTCATGGCTTGCATGGATTTTGATAGGCCCGCAGATAACTACTCTATGGCGCAGGCTTAACATATAGGCGAGGCATATATTAAAGGATGGGAGTAACACTACACATAATTGTAGTGTTATTAATTGTATATTTGTAGCCTTCCAAGGTAAGTTGTAAGGAAAAAAAGAGGGTGGCAAAAAGAACGTAAAGGAAAAAGGTGTTTTTTTTTCAAATGAAATGTTGCAGACTTGGACTTAGGTTTTAGTACAACTGGACAATAAAGTAAAACTTGAGAACGATTTCTGGAAGATAAGAAATTAGTTGGTAGAGAAAATGGTGACTGATATTATTAGCTTATTGAAAAATAAAACTGTGTAGCAAGTTCTACTGCCTTTGTGTGTGTGTATTTCAGTATGTGTTTAGAAAAATTATCCTGATTCAAGATTATAGCTATTCCATCTTGCAAAAATATTAGATGAATCACTTTCTCAGTCTATTAAATTCAACCCTGTAAATCAGCACAAACTGAAATGTGGATCTAAATGAATCACAAAATGTTTGACATGGCAATATAAATTATTTCAAAAATTGAGCATAAATAATCAGTCATTATATACCTCTTTTATACAGTTGGTAAAAATGTTTATAATGAGTGGGAAATGAATAAAAAGATCACATGAGCCTGGCCGGCGTGGATCAGTGGATGAGCATCAACCTATGAACCAGGAGGTCACAGTTCAATTGCTAGTCAGGACACTGCTCAAGTTGTAGGCTTGATCCCCAGTGTGGGACATGCAGAGGGCAGCCTGTCAATGTTTCTTTCTCATCATTGATGTTTTTATCTCTCTCTCCTTCTTCCTTCTTCTCTGAAATTAATAAAAAGTGATAGTGTTTTTTTTCTTTTTAAATCACATGAGGCCCAGAGCAAGGTGCTTTCCCTTCCAGTATATTTGTCCACAAATTAGGGTTAACAGTAATGTTGACCTCACGGTTGTGCAAGTATTGTATTGGACAAGAACTGGGAATTCATTTTAATCGTCTGGCAAATAAAATTAAATTGTGTGATACTTTTGAAAGTAAAGGACAGTTTTTCACTCAATGAGAAAAATAAGGGGACATATGTAATACTTTCAACAATAAAAATTAAAAAATAAAGACTTAAAAAGAGAAATGCAATTCTAGTTCCAACATAGTAAGAGCATAGGAAAGTCAGAAAATACAGGTTTTCTTCCTCTTTTTGACAATTTCCTTACTATATGTACCTATTTGAATCATATAATTTCTTCAAGTCTCAATTTCTCATTGTGGTGTAAGTAATTTTAATATCCTTTCCAGTTTATCTAATAAATTGAACGATTTTATATTGAAGTTTTCTTTCTTCTTTTAAATAGCAAATTTCAAAATAAGAAACTTTAACTAGCCTTTATTCTTTGAAGTAAAGTTGATGAATATACAGAAGGTTTTATCTTAATACTTTCACACCACTTGGTGTGATTGTTAAATGAAATTAACATCTTTTTTATGCTAAATTGTTTTACAAAGCATAATTCATGAGTAAAGGGCAAAAAAGTGGCTTTTGTAATGCATTATTGATATACTGAATGAGATTTTTAAAAAATAATGATCTTGACCTAACCGGTTCGGCTCAGTGGACACAGCGTCGGCCTATGGACTCAAGGGTCCCAGGTTCGATTCCGTTCAAGGGCATGTACCTTGGTTGCAGACACATCCCCAGTGGGGAGTGTGCAGGAGGCAGCTGATCGATGTTTCTCTCGCATTGATGTTTCTATCTCTCTATCCCTCTCCCTTTCTCTCTGTACAAAATCAATAAAATATATTTTTTTAAAAATATAAAATAATAATCTTATGTGCTATTCTAAAAATATATAAATACATTTTAATCTATATATTCATTACATGCTTGTGAATATCTATTACAACAGTTATAAAAATTGGTGAATAAGGATATGTGGAATGAAAGAACTACTGTACTTTTGATACTAATTTTATTTACTATATCATGAGAGGATAGACTCCATATATGAAAATGTTCTGCTCTACTTCTGGAAGTCAACCCTTGCATAGGTGAGAAAGAATAAAAATAAAAATAATAAAACCAATGAATGAGAATACCACAATAGAAATACACTGTAGACTCTTGTCATTTTTTTTTTTTTTTTACTAAGCAGCATTTAAACACCCATCCTTTTTTCATGGAACACTCCAATATAGGAATTCTGATGACAGAATTCTTAACTTTCACATCGAAACACCTAGGAACCAGACACATTCTTCTTCTTTTTTTTTTCAATATATTTTCATTGATTTCAGAGAGGTGGAGAGAGGAAGAGAGAGATAGAAATGTCAAGAACGAGAGAGAATCTTTGATTGGCTGCTTCCTGCGAGCCCCACACTGGGGATTGAGCCCACAACCCAGGCATATACCCTGACCGGGAATCCAACTGTGACATCCAGAGGTCAACACTCAACCACTGAGCCACGCCGATCGGGCTCATCTTCTAACTTTTTAATCAGAAATTGCATGTGTGACATACAAGTTGGTCACACACTCCAACACCCTGGAACAGATGATGGATGTATGTAGTGAACATTAAGAAACGTTTCACAGCAGGGTAAGGGTCTCAACAGCCAGATGTAGCGGTGGTCAGTCTGGCAGCTATGATGGATAAAGTCAGTGACAGCTGCGCAAATTAAGAGTCATTCTACACAGTTTCAGAGGCAAGTACTTAATATTGCTTCTCACTGCCTCATTTCTGTTGGTATTTACTCTTTGATAAACCTAATTCTTAAGGCTCCTCATCAATTTTGATGGCTATACAATAAATGTATTTGCTGCTGTCCACAGCCAAGTTGACCTTTACTCTTTGAAAACAAGAACCTTCTCTGTAAAAAGCATTATTTTCACAAAACAAAAAAGTATTTCCAAATAATGCATTACTTGTAACAGTGTGTAATGCAGGCCTCTCTCCTCTGCTCAGTACTTAATCTCAGTGATGCAACTTTGCTGCAAGAGACTAGTCCTCTTGCTTCTGTGGCTAGTCCCTCTTTGGTATTAGAATTGGTAACACTGCACTTAGTCAAGAACATGACCTCAAATGTCCATTTTATAGAAAACTATCACATTTATGTGAGCATTTTACTCTCTGAGCTTCGCAGTTCTCATTTATGAAGAAAGATTTGTATTTGAATTATCTTTAAGAATGTTCAGCTATCTAATTCTTTGACTTTCTGATTTAATAACCACGCTTCATTTACAAATGACTTTTCTTACTTACAGAGTTACTCACATTGCCCAAGGTTAAATATCAGCCGTTTATAACTCTTCAATACAGTCATTCTGCCAGAGAGCACTGAAGAAACACTATTTTCAACAAAATAATCCTCACATTTACCCCAAAAGTAACTGCTTGTAACTTGGTCTTTTGACTGACTTTTCTTACCAATATGTTCTTGGATTATAAACTTGAGATTCCAAAGAGGTGTAGAGAATGTCTTAGGTTTTCTCTCTCTTGTTTCATAAGAAACTTTCTTTGCTTCTTTTCTTGTTTTGAAAATGTCTTTTTAAAATATACTTTGTCAATTTTATTTCATGAATCTGCCGTTCCATTCTCCATAAGTGTGGGGTGATATATTATTTTACATATTCAAAAAGCCTAGAGTTATAATTGCCACCATTTTCCCAACTATGGCATTATACATTATTGGTAGGAATCTGTCTGACTTTGCAGAGAGCAAGCTTAGTTTAAATAGAAAATGTCAAAGGAAGATAGAGTATGATGGAAAGTCCATATATTTTGGAACTGCTTTCACTGTGAGATGTATAGGATATCCTGTATGGAGAAGCACATGTCAATGGGAACATATTGCTTAATGCACATTTGTCAGACTGCAAATCCATCAGATGAAAAGGCTGTTCCTCATGAGAAGATGACTCATCTTGAAAAGAATGAAACTTAACCCTCCCATGATGAATTATTAAAATCCATCACACTGTCAGGCAGATTTAAGTATAAGGAAACTTAAATTAGGTTTGAATTCTGATGTACTTATATAAGATGAAAGTTATAAGTCCTTAACAGAAGCCAATGTTTTACTTTAAGAAATAAATTTTTATTATATGTTTGTACATATGTATGTATGTATTTACTTACTTATGTTCAGGATGTGTGTTCTAAAACTTTCAGTTATTTTTTGAGCTAGTGATTACAAGCCCAACACCCACTGCTTGCAAGGTGCATTCTCAGATATTTGTCTGACCCTGAATCTATGGTTTCCATCTATTTCAGATCCAATGATCAACAATATCAGTATCATTCTCCTGTTCTAAGTCTAGCTCTTGTTTAATTTCC